ACTACTGACGGACCATAGACCCCTCACCTCCATCTTTGGTCCCCACACCGGCATTCCGTCGCTGGCAGCCAGCCGCATGCAGCGATGGGCGTTATTGTTATCTGCTCACCAGTACGATATCAAGTACAGAAGGTCTGAGCAGCACTGCAATGCAGATGGCCTCTCAAGGCTTCCCTTACCTGTCGCACACACTGAGCACTCCCAGGCTGAAATCTTCTACTTCAAGGAAGTGACGAACGCCCCAGTTACATCTGTCCAAGTGAAAAGTTCACCCACACTGATCCAGTGATGTCTGAGGTCGTGGACATTGTCACTTGTGGAAAAGAAGGAGAGATGTCGGACAGCCTACAACCTTACCTAGTGAGGAGAAACGAGCTCACAGTTCAGTTTTGATGCTTGCTATGGGGTTTTCGAGTCATCATACCGCTGCCACTGAGAAGGCAGGTGCTTGAAGAACTCCATTCAGGGCACTGTGGCATGGTACGAATGAAGGAGATTTCCAGATCTGGATGCAGCTATCGCAGACAAGGTCAAGTCATGTTCTGCATGTCAAAAGATGAGGAACATGCCTCAGCTAGCGCCACTATACCCATGGGACTTCCCAGAGGAGCCTTGGCAGCGAGTCCACATAGACTATGCAGGCCCACTGGAGGATCGTATGGTGTTAGTCGTAGTTGACGCACACAGCAAATGGCCTGAAGTCACAGTGATGAAGAGCACCTCAGCGGAGAGAACCATCGAAGAGCTACGGTCAATTTTCAGTCGCTTCGGCTTGCCAAAGCAACTCGTTAGTGATAATGGCCCCCAACTGGTGTCTGAAGAGTTCCGGTCATTCATGGAAGCAAATGGAATTCAGCACATCAAGTCAGCACCGTATCACGCTGCAACGAACGGCCTCACTGAAAGGTTTGTCCAAACGATGAAGCAAGCTTTAAAATCATCACAAGGGAACGGCTCCCTCAATAGGCGTCTAAACACCTTCCTGTTAACCTACAGAAACACTCCCCACGCTACAACCAAAGTGGCACCCGCGTCAGCCATGATGAAAAGACAGCTTTGTACGCGACTCGACCTCCTGAGACCTCCAAAGACGAGACAGGTTGTATAGACGCAACAGAGAGCACAGGTGGAGAGACGGAGCAAAGCAAAAGACAGAAGCTTCATAGCTGGAGAGAGAGTTCTTGCTCGGAACTACTGCAAAGGTCCAAAGTGGATGAGTCATCAAAGGTAAAGGAGGAGGAATATGTTGTGTATTGATATTCTAGTTTTGTCCCTTTAGGGCACCTGCAACCCCCCCTTGCTTACCTACGTTGAAATGCTTGGAATGTTCTTCCTGTGAAACGCATTAAAACAATGCCCACGTTAATTTCTACTCCCGTCTCATGTCCTGTCCTTATATTAGTTGTATAAGTAATACAGTGTGCTATACAACAAAGTCTATTTTTCTCGCCTCTACGCGGAGCAATGCTGGTAAAATTAGCTAATAAATTGTGCACTGTTTGTGCATTGTTACCTCTGGAATTCTGAAATGTAATGTTAGAAAGTGTCTATTTAGTGTTGATAAGTTTAACTGCAAGCCAGCATTAATCAAATCAAATCAAATCAAATTTTATTGGTCACATGCGCCGAATACAACAGGTGCAGACATTGCAGTGAAATGCTTACTTACAGCCCTTAACCAACAGTGCATTTATTTTAAACAAAAAAAGTAAGAATAAAACAACAACAACAAAAAAGTGTTGAGAAAAAAAGAGCAGAAGTAAAATAAAGTGACAGTAGGGAGGCTATATATACAGTAAAATAAAGTGACAGTAGGGAGGCTATATATACAGGGGGGTACCGTTGCAGAGTCAATGTGCGGGGGCACCGGCTAGTTGAGGTAGTTGAGGTAATATGTACATGTGGGTAGAGTTAAAGTGACTATGCATAAATACTTAACAGAGTAGCAGCAGCGTAAAAAGGATGGGGTGGGGGGGCAGTGCAAATAGTCCGGGTAGCCATGATTAGCTGTTCAGGAGTCTTATGGCTTGGGGGTAGAAGCTGTTGAGAAGTCTTTTGGACCTATAGGCTATAGTGTTAATGAAAAAACATTGTAGCAATGCATAAATGCAACTACAGTATAACTGTTGTTGCTTACAGACAATTTTATCAAAAGGTTCAAACAAAGTGGATGGGTATTGAGTGAATCAAATCTTGTCTAGAGATTGAGTGGATCATTTGTATAAAGGGAATTAGAGGAACTGTTATGATCTTCCCTACTTTGCTAAGTAAAGTTGTATGGCAAAACATTTTATTGGGCTGTATAGGCTATGGTTTATCTGACAAATGTGCTACCTATTTGAAAACAATGCAGCCTACTGTGCAATGCAGTTTTAAGAAAAATAAGAGTTAAGAAAATATGTACTAAATAAACTAAAGTAAGAAAGTAACACAATAAAATAACAATAACGAGGCTATATACAGGGGGTACCGGTACCGAGTCAATTTGCGGGGGTACAGGTTAGTCGAGGTAATTGAGGTTATATGTACATGTAGGTAGGGGTAAAGTGACTATGCATAGATAATAAACAGCGAGTAGCAGCAGTGTAAAAAAACGGGGGGTCAATGCAAATAAGCCGGGTAGCCATTTTATTAACTGTTCAGCAGTCTTATGGCTTGAGGGTAGAAGCTGTTAAGGAGCCTTTTGGACCGAGACTTGGCGCTCTGGTACCGCTTGCCGTGCAGTAGCAGAGAGAACAGTCTATGACTAGGGTGGCTGGAGTCTGACCATTTTTAGGGCCTTCCTCTGACACCGCCTGGTATAGACGATGGCAGGAAGCTTAGCCCCAGTGATGTACTGGGCCATATGCACTACCCTCTGTAGCGCCTTGCGGTCAGATGCCGAGCAGTTGCCATACCAGGCAGTGATGCAACCAGTCAGGATGCTCTCGATGGTGCAGCTGTAGAACTTTTTGAGGATCTGAGGACCCATGCCAAATCTTTTCAGTCTCCTGAGGGGGAATTGGCATTGTCGTGCCCTCTTCACGACTGTCTTGGTGTGTTTGGACCATGATAGTTTGTTGGTGATGTGGACACCAAGGAACTTGAAGCTCTCGACCTGCTCCACTACAGCCCAGTTGATGTGAATGGCCCTCCTTTTCATGTAGTCCACAATCATCTCCTTGATCACGTTGAGGGAGAGGTTGTTGTTCTGGAACCACACTGCCAGGTCTCTGACCTCCTCCCTATAGGCTGTCTCATCGTTGTCGGTGATCAGGCCTACTACCGTTGTGTCGTCTGCAAACTTAATGATGGTGTTGGAGTCGTGCTTGGCCACATAGTCGTGGGTGAACAGTGTCTAGTGCAATAGAGATTGTGTCATCTGTGGATCTGTTGGGGCGGTATGCGAATTGGAGTGGGTCTAGGGCAGGGTTCTTCAATTCCGGTCCTGGAGGGCCGAAACACCTCTGTTTTTCATCCTCTCCTTCTAATCAGGGGCTAATTCAGACCTGGGACACCAGGTGAGTGCAATTAACTACCAGGTAGAAATAAAAAACAGAAGTGTTTCGGCCCTGGTCTAGGGTTTCTGGGATGATGGTGTTGATGTGAGCCATGACCAGCCTTTCAAAGCACGTCATGGCTGCAAACGTGAGCGCAATGGGTCGGTACTCATTTAGGCAGGGTACAACTGTTTATAATGTAGTGTTCACATTTACATTGGTGAACACTATGCTGTCTATGTGAATTATCGCTTGCTACTCTCTCACAAGCAAATTCATGCTATGACGGACATCCCTTGTGTGATTTGGGCTTAAATGAATGAAAGTTCCAAAGTCCTACCAGTTTTTGTGCAAAACTGTTTCCATGCAACCAGTTTTGAACAAATCATATTTTTAAATGTTTTACTTCCTTAGCTAGCTTGAATGAACTCATCTGACATCATTACATTTAGAACATTCAAGACTGACTGTGTTCATGTCCATGTAGTCTGTGTCATCTTCCAGGTCTATGTGCTTCTCTCACAATGGACTGTAAAGGTGCTTACCTGTGTTCTCGACTCTTGCCATGTGGCGTCACAAGTGTTATTTTGCTGGGAGACCTCCAGTCTCCCCCACCAGCAGCCAGAGGCTATAGGCTAGATCAATGGGTCATTCACTTCATTTTAATACAGCATGAAATCACAAGATAATATTGTTGGAGAAAAATAATGTTTAATCAGCTTGTTTAACCAGTGTACCATCTGATTTGTATAACTGAACATTGGATTGTAACACGACCCCAAAATAAGCTCACTAATGTTAGGCTGTAGTAACACGAAGCAGCTTTCCTGCAACTTTAGTTGCTTGCAACTAACTATGTTGCATTTGGATTGCTTCATGTACCACCCCAAGCAACTAATAAGCAATTTATCTGCATCTTGGTTGCATCCAGTTGCAAAAACGTCTACTTTGTGCAACTAGTTGCAAGCAACAGCCAATCAAAACAAATGCTTTTGTCACCTGATACAGTTGTCTCCGACCCAGTTGTCATGTCAGCACAGCTGTCAATGTTTCAGGAACAGCAATCAAGTTGAATAGAAGAGACATTATCCTAATGGGAGCTGTAAATAAATATTGTCATCATGGCAAGTCATGGTTTATATACATGGTTTAGTAGTCAATAAATGTAATGTTTTTGGTGAGGCTAGTGTTGCACGAAGGTTGTTATAGTATTTTTACAAGAGGATCAACTTTGTTTTCTGCTCGCTTGCGTTCGAAAGGGGTAAAGCTATAGTCATATGGAAAAATATGAAATAAAGATGACATTCTTAATCTGGTGTGCCTCGGCCAGGTCAACTGGAATTTGTATGGGGTCTAGTCTAGGTCTGATAAACGCACACCGTGTTTTGGGAAATCAAATACAGCCAAGGTAAATGGAGAAATCATGTTAAGTTGTATTTTAAGGGGAACATCCACATGCTATGCAAACAGAGTAGATGAACAGTAACCAGCTTCTATATGTCAATATAAGGGGGACTGGAGACTGGGGCCATGTGGAAGTGCCTGTCCAAATATGTCTGCATCTTTCTCCTGCTGACCCTGTCAGGCCTCTTCTTCCTGTTCCGCAACATCAACATTCTGGAGGTGAGGAGGAAAGTGATCTTCCCCCAATACAAGTCCAAGCTTACTTCCATCACAATCTACCTGCATTAGCCTACCACCCTTTCCCCCTTAGTGACCTCTACTCTCATCCACAGTGGAAGTTGGACCTATGCATCTGGGACATATGCAGCGTCCACTCAGAGGGCCCTCCTCTCCTGGACCACAAGCAAAGCTGTAACCACCTGGGCCAGGAGCGCACACCTGAGGAGGCTCTGGAGGAGCATTACCTCCTGGAGTCCATTGCCTGGCCAGAGCCTCCGCCTCGGCCCACGCCTACACCCCTGGAACAGACCAGTGACCCTGCACACAGCCTGTTTGTAATGCTGCCGGCAGTTGGTGGGAGAGAGTGGCATGTGGGGGACCAGCTGGAGTTTCTGGTCCTTATGAAAGATTTCCAGGGACGTCCCAAGAGCCATGGTGGGGACTTCTTGCTGGCTCGGCTGCACTCCCCAAAGCTGGGGGCGGGCGTTGCAGGACAGGTGGTGGACCACCAGAATGGGACCTACTCTGCCATTTTTCTGTTACTGTGGGAGGGGTCCGTACGAGTGGAGGTGACACTGGTTCATCCTAGTGAGGCTGTTCATGTTCTACGAAACTTACGTGAGGAACGGCCCGACCGGGTGCTTTACAAGAGCCTGTTCCGCTCTGGATTACTTTCTGAGACCACCATGTGTAACATTTGCCTACCGACCAACCAGCAGCCGCTGTGCAATTACACAGACCCCCACACGGGTGAACCCTGGTACTGCTACCAGCCCAAGCAGCTGCTGAGCTGTGACACACGGATCAACCACTTCAGGGCAGGCTACCAGAAAGATCTGATAACCGACAAAGAAGCACTGCTCTTCCAGAGGTTAGTGTGGGGTAAAAAAGAGTGTGTGTGGGAATGAGCGTATGTTTGACCTTGGACCTATGCAGCATTTCTTCCAATATACAATTACAGAGTGTGGTTCAGGTGATTGTTATTGCTTTCTTTTAAAACATTTAAAATGATTCTCTAACTTTTTCAGTGGCGTAAACCTCAAAACACATATTCATGCCAAGGGGTCTGACAGTGTCACTGTGCTGCCTAAGAAGAAAGGTAAAATAAATTGTTGCAGTGTGAAGACAAATCTGAGAGTGTCTGTAAAGTGATGGTAGCTGTTGCATCATGTCTCCTCTCGTATTTCAGACAAACCTGAGGTGGAAAGCAGCCGTGCAAAGGCAGCGCCTGTCAGGACCACTCCCTCTGGGTATTACTTCCAAGGGTCATGGCAGTCACTGGGTGGTGTCGTGATGCGCCAGTTTAATGATCCCACTGCCATTACTCAGTGTTTGAAGGGCAAGGTGGTGTACATGTATGGAGACTCCACCGTTAGACAGTACTATGAGTTCCTCACCAGCTTCTTGCCAGGTGAGTGCTGTTTGCCAAACCTATTACATCTCACACTCAGCTGTCTCAGGTGCGTTCATATTCTCTCTCTAGATCAGTTTATGCAGGGCTGTTGTGGAGCGGGTCGAGAGTCTCAAGTTCCTTGGCGTCCACATCACTAATGACCTAACATGGTCCACACACACCCGCACAGTCTTGAAGAGGGCACGGCAGCACCTCTTCCCCCTCAGGAGGTTGAAAAGATTTGGCATGGGCCCTCGGATCCTCAAAAAGTTATACAGCTGCACCATCAAGAGCATCTTGACTGGCTGCATCATCACATGGTATGGCAAATGCGGACAGCCCAGTACATCACTGGGGCCGAGCTCCATTCCATCCAGTACCTCTATATCAGGCGGTGTCAGAGGAAGGGCCGAAAAATTGCCAAAGACTCCAACCACCCAAGCCATAGACTGTTCATTCTGCTACCGTCCAGCAAACGGTATCGGAGCATCGGCTCTCGGACCAACAGACTCTGAGACAGCTTCTACCCCCAAGTCATAAGACTGCTGAGTGGCCAGACTGCTAAATAGTCAATAAATGGTACCCTAACTATCTGCACTGACTCAATTCTTCACTGACCCTACGCACACTCACTAGACTATATATACACACACACCATATACACACTCACTAGACTATATACACAAACCATGTGCACACTCACTAGACTATATACACAAACCATATACACACTCACTCACACAGACTACATTGACACTCCCACACAAAACCCACACACATTCACATACACTACATATGCACACACACACAGACTGACACAACACAAACAAACATATATACACATTACACTAACGCAAACTCACACACACACATTTTCTACAATCATCATTTGCTGCTGCTGCTCTGTTCTTTATTTTACTCTTATTATTATCTATCCTGATGCCTAGTCACTTTACCTTGCCTTCTTGTACATACTGTATCTACCTCAAATACCTTGTACCTCTGCACATTGACCTGGTACTGGTACTCCCTGTATATAGTGTAGCTCCATTCTTGTGTACTTTATTTTACAGTTTTTTACAATCACTTTGGCACTAATTTCAGAACATTGACGTCATTTTTCAAAACTCTAAACGGTCATCACTTGTAACACAGGCTGTCCAATGTTCAAAACATTGCATTGTGCATTCATATCTTTAAAGAAATCTTGCACTTGCACTTGCACAATCATTGGTTCAAAAAACAAATGTATTGTGAAATACCAATGACATTTTAATTTAGATCACCCACACACAAGCAACCGATAGTTTCACTGTGTCATTGTTCGTACAATCATTAAATATTGTAGTACAAAATAGGTGATACATGTTTCATTATGGTACTACATGTAAATACATCCCTGTAAAAGTACTGCAGTAGTAGAGAGAATACCACAGACACAGTGGAATCATTGAACAAAATCTGAAATATATTGATGAAAAACAATACAGTACTGTAAAACATTAAATGCAGTGTTCCTCAACTTGCTTGCTTGTACTGTAAAAAGCAAAACATAGGAGTGATTACTGTACTTCTACATTTTCATCAACTCTGTCTTGTGGATTTGGCCACAGGTTCTCATCTACATCACAATGGATGTTTTCATTAGCCAAACATCTTGGAAAAAACCTTGGCGAATCCAGGCCTGACACTGGTCTGCCGTGATGTCATTGCATGCGTCATCCATGGCCTGGAGAAGAGTGACTTGTTCATGAGGGCGCCTATCATAAACCTTCCATCTCCATGTGGAGAAAAATTCCTCAATCGGGTTAAGGAAAGGAGTGTATGGGGGTAAATACAGGGTGGTAAATTGTGCATGGGCCTGAAACCATGGTGGAACCTGACATTATCCCACACAATGACATAGGTCACGCCATCATCTCTACAGACCTGATCGAGCTCATCAAGGAAGGTTACAAGGAGAGCTGCATTATATGATCCAATACGAGGTCTGCGTCCCACCACACCATCTTCTGATATAGCCGCACACATGGTAATGTTGGCCCCACGTTGTCCAGGTACTTGGATGGTTGCCCGCTGGCCAATGAAATTCTGACCTCTCCTCCTTGTCTTGGCCAGGTTAAAGCCTGCCTCATCCAAATATATGAATTTGTGATGGCTGTCATCAGCATCCATCCTTTTGAAAGAAATCCAGCCTTCTTGAAACTGAACATACCTGAACATACTCAGTCCTCATTTGCTTAACTCTGTCTGCATTTCTTTCAAAAGGCACACGGTATAGTTGCTTTAAAGACACCTGGTGCCTTTTCAGCATGCGTGCAATAGTCGGCAAACCACATTGTTAAACATGTCTTCATTGTCCAAGATATGCTGGCGAATTTCTGTAAGGCGAATATCATTTCTGGCCCGAACCTAATCGACCACAGTCTGCTCTTGTTGGTCAGTCAGAATTTTGCCTCTGCCTCCCCTATTTGGCCTAGTCTCAATTCTACAGGGAACACTACAGTAAGAAGACACTTGGTCACATCACCTACTCTGTGATACACATTGGTATGCAGTCATTTGACAAATGAGAGTAGCATAATGTGTAGTGCATGCTGACGACTTACCGGTTCTCATTGTGGAAAGTTCTGATTATTGAGGCCACGGTTGACCTTCTGAGGTTTGGTTGTATCATTGTAGCCGCCTCAGTCATTGTCATGCCATGATTTATGACATGGTCTACAACTATTGCACGGATTTCATTGGACACTTGCTGTTGCTGCTGCTGTCTTGGTCCGTGGCCTTGTCCTCTACCACGTTCCCCCACACCTCTCAAACGAGGCCCACGACCACCTCTCAGAAGGGGTGCTTGTCCCCTGCCATTCCTTTGACCAACACATCTTCCTCGTCTTCCTCCCACCACTGCTTGACCTCTATTGTGACCTGGATCACCTGCCGGCTCCATGTTACAGTACGTATCGCTATGTTGTTGCAAGTGGATCCCAATCAATTCTTTATATACTCGTTCCACAATGTGAAATCAATCATCAGTAACGAGTTGGCAGAATTTGACAAGCAATTACAAGGGCCTGCATCCATACAGTGCAGTACTGTCAATACTGTAAATAGTCTGAAAAGGTGGTGCATGGGACCATATAAAACGGTGTCTGATAAGGAATGATGATGAAATATTACATCCATAGATAATGTAGTCTAATTGGTTCATGCTCCACACTAATTGGTGACAATGAATCTCGTTATCTTGAAACTTTCATGATCTAAACATGGAATATTGTTTGTCTGTTTCCATACAACTATGCATTAAGAGTTATTCAACAGTTACTTATCATTTTGAGCAGTTGTATCAATTGATAATTGGATAATTGTAATGAAATGAATAGACACTCATCTGAAATGTAATGTGTGAATTGCCTTTTGAAATAGTAGTACTTTGATGTTAAGTTATGTCATATTGAACACGTGATTTTTGTTAAATGAACAAATGATCTTAGTTTTATGTGTATTGTATCCAAGCAATTGAAAAAAGTGTTAGAGTTTTGAAAAATGTGCATTTTGATCATTGGTTGTGAGTTTTGTGTCTAGAGTTTTGAAAAATGACATCAAGGTTCTGAAATTAGTGCCAAAGTGATTGTAAAAAACTGTATTCCTTGTGTTACTATTTCATTTTTATTTTTTAACTCTGCATTGTTGGGAAAGGCTCGTAAGCAAGCATTTCATGGCAAAGTCTACACCAGTTGTTTTCGGCGTATGTGACAAATAAAACAGTATTTTATTTTATTTCATTTATACCTGGTTCTAACATGCGTCCGTTGGCCATGTTCTCGGCCATATTCTGATTGTGCCCACATGTCGACAGGTGTAGACAATCAAAAGACGCATTGTGATCTGGTTGTGATTAGATCTTCCTGACCACCTCCGGAGGTAGTCAAAGACGCATCTGTAAACGAATCCAGACAACTAAAGGGTATACAGTGTCTTCAGAAAGTATTCATAACCCTTGACTTCTTCAATATTTTGTTGTGTTACAGCCTGGTTTCAAAATGGATTAAATAGATTTTTTCTCTCAACCATCTACACACAATACCCCATAATGTCAAAGTGAAAATATGTTTTTAGAAATGTTTGCAAATGAAATACAGAAATATCTGTATTCACACCCCTGAGTCAATACTATGTAGAATCACCTTTGGCAGCGATTACAGCTGTGAGTCTTTCTGGGTAAGTCTCTTAAGAGTTTTCCACACCTGGATTGTGCAACATTTGCCCATTATTCTCTTCAAAATTCTTCAAGCTCTGTCAAATTGGTTCTTGATCATTGGTAGCCATAGATGTTCAAGTAAATTTAAGTCAAAACTGTAACTAGGCCACTCATGAACATTCACTGTCTTCTTGATTTTTTATTTTATTTTTTATTTATTTCACCTTTATTTAACCAGGTAAACCAGTTGAGAACAAGTTCTCATTTACAACTGCGACCTGGCCAAGATAAAGCAAAGCAGTGCGATAAAAACAACAACACAGAGTTACATATGGGGTAAAACAAAACAAAGTCAAAAAAAATACAACAGAAATACATATATATACAGTGTGTGCAAATTTAGCAAGTTATGGAGGTAAGGCAATAAAATAGGCTATAGTGCAAAATAATTACAATTAGTATTAACACTGGAATGATAGATGTGCAAGAGATGATGTGCAAATAGAGATACTGGGGTACAAATGAGCAAAATAAATAACAATATAGGGATGAGGTAGTTGGGCGGGCTACCTCATTGATAAGCAACTCTAGTGTAGATTTGGCCTTGTGTTTTAGGTTATTGTCCTGCTGAAAGGTGAATTCATTCCCCAGTGTCTGGTGCAGACTGAACCACCTTTTGCCTGTGCTTAGCTCCATTCTGTGTCTTTTATATCCTGAAAAACTCCCCAGTCCTTAAAGAATACAAGAATACCCATAACAAGATGCAGCCACCACTATGCTTGAAAATATGGAGAGTGGTGTTGTATTGGATTTTACCCAAACATAACACTTTCTATTCAGGACAAAAAGTGAATTGCTTTGACAAATTTTTTGCAGTATTACTTTAGTGCCTTGCTGCAAACAGGATGCATAGTTGAATAGTTTTATTCTCTACAGGCTTCCTTCTTTTCACATTGTCAATTAGGTTAGTATTGTGGAGTAACTTCAATCTTGTTGATCCATCCTCAGTTTTCTCCTATCACAGCCATACAATTCTTTACTGTTTTAAAGTTACCATTGGCCACATGGTGAAATCCCTGAGCGGTTTCCTTCCTCTCCTACAACTGAGTTAGGAAGGATGCCTGTATCTTTGTAGTGACTGGGTGTATTGATACACCATCCAAAGTGTAATTAATAACTTCACCATGCTCAAAGGGATATTCAATGTCTGCTTTTTTTTTTAACCCATCTACCAATAGGTGCCCTTCTTTGCGAGGCATTGGAAAACCTCCCTTGTCTTTGTGGTTGAATCTGTGTTTGAAATTCACTGCTTGACTGAGGGACCTTACATATATTTGTATGTGTGGGGTACAGAGATGAGGTAGTCATTCAAAAATCATGTTAAACACTATTATTGCACACAGAGTGAGTCCATGCAACGTATTTTGTGTCTTGATAATCAAATGTGTACTCCTGAACTTGTTTAGGCTTGCCATAACAAAGGGGTTGAATACTTATTGACTCAAGACATTTCAGCTTTTCATTTTTTATTAATTTGTAAAGATTTCAAAAAACATAATTCCACTTTGACATTATGGGTTATTGTGTGTAGTCCAGTTACAAGAAAATCTCAATTTAATCAATTTAAAATGTAGGCTGTAACACAACAAAATGTGGAAAAAGTCAAGGAGTGTGAATACTTTCTGAAGGCACTTTAAATTTGTCCAATGACATGGTTGTCCCGCCCTCTCAAAAAAATCACACCGGCCAGTTGAATTAAGATCATGGTCTTCATTAGAAACCAAGTCCCTACTGGCAATCTAGTCGGATGCCACAGGCCATACCACGTCCAGCCCTGAATAAAATGGGCATATAGAAATAAAAATATTTATGAAGAGATATCGTCCCGAATGAGAGGAAAAGGGTTCTCCCGTTCCCACGTCCATTGCCAGTGCAAAATCTAATATTTGAAAACATCGTAGGCTACAGACAGGCCAAGGACTGTAAAAGCAGAATTTAAACTGAACTATACATGTATTGGGGATGCATGGGACAGAGTATGATGGAGTTGCAGCAGAACAGCATAACAAGTGTATGGCCAGGTATAATGTGTAGGCCTAATTTTCCACCTGTAGGCTACCTTTATCAGATATGAAAATAATACATTGGTATTGCAATCCTTTCCTATTTTATTCTATTCTTTAATATTCTGTGAATCTTTGAGCATTTTCCAGCTATCAGTAAAGTGCAGAAACTGATTTGTAAAGGCATGAGCGAGGCCACTGTCCAATATAATGTAGGCTTCAATATGAAGGCCTCTTTAAGCTACTATTATATTTATACTTTATTCCTTTATAAAGCCATTTGCTTTACATGCATGCTTCTTTGCACTTTTTATCAATTGCCGCTTTTATCCATGCATTTTCAGAATATGACCACTCGTCTTGCTTATCCTAATTATTGAAGTTCCGTTAACGAATTATTACTGATCAATGATTTGGCCTATACTAAACAATAATATGAAGACAACGTATGTAAACATCCATGCGTAAAGAACAACACTGTCCAGACATGTTTGGATAATGCATTGCGCCATTCAGAGATGCACTTTGTATCCTACCCTTTAACTAAATCTGTTTCTGTTTTTACTGTGTGCATTAGGACCTAAGTGTCATTGTTTATTGCAATAATTGTATTTTATACACACATCCAGATACTCAGCTCGTTTGTGTGGTGACTTTTTTAGGGATTCTCTGAATATTTATTTGTATGGCTGTGGACAGGTTGAGGTTATTGGGACAGTAGCCTATTGCGCCCAGTCTTAAATCATTGAATAACAAATGTAGGCTGTAATGATGAGAGTATAAAGCTATTGACTATAAAAGTGTGCTGTTTTCTGTCGATTTCCACAGCTTGGGTCATAACGGGAGGTCCAAGGCAGGTTGGATTCATTTGCATACAGGGAGGGACCAGGAAATCTGGTCACAATACGGACGAAGTGGGCAGAGAAGAGACATATTTAATTAAGTGTAGACAACAAATCTCGATCAGATAGTGATCAAATCATGATCGGATGACGACAACCATGTGTAACCATAGAATATGTGACAGAAGCCATCTCGCAACATCTCCCTCTCTCTCTGTTACAGAGCTGAAGGATTTCAACCTTCGAAGTCCTGTGAAGGCAGGGCCCTTCATGGCGGTGGACATCCCCCACAATATCCTGCTAAAGTACCGCAGCCATGGCCCCCCCATCACCTGGACCCCTCTCAGCATCAGTCAGCTGCGCTATGTAGCTAATGAGCTGGATGGCCTGGCCGGGGGCTCAGACACTGTTGTAGTCATCAGCGTTTGGGCCCATTTTTGTACCTTCCCTGTGCAGGTTTACATTCGCAGACTACGCCACATTCGAAGGGCAGTGGTGCGGCTTCTGAACCGAGCTCCGGGGACTGTGGTTGTGGTGCGCTCGGCAAACCTCCGGCCCCAAAGCCTACAGGAGAGCCTCAATGTCAGCGACTGGTTTTCGCTGCAGCTGGACGAGGTGATCAAGGCCATGTTCAGGGGCCTGAATATCAAGTTACTGGATGCCTGGGAGATGACCCTTGCCCACCACCTCCCCCACAATATCCACCCACGCCCTCCGATCATTAAGAACATGATAAACGCTATCCTCTCTTGCGTCTGCCCAGTAAAGAACTAGCAGAGAAAGTTTAATTATTTCTGGCACAATTGACAAAATAACTAGCATGGGCGGAGTGTTGTCCAACTAGCTTACATGATTCATCACTTGAGCCTGCTAAATTTGTACATCTGCTAGAAAAAAGTATGTCTCAACACAGTTAAGGTTCTAAATGACAATGGCAACCTACTAGCACATCTAGTGATAGAAAGACGGCCTCAAATCAACGTGTAGCTTTTGTCCAGGCTGCGCTCTCCAAATTCCAAAGATCATACAATAAATTGCAATGAAATTGTGCCTCAAACTATTAGAGAAAATAGTTTTTTTTCATACAGTTGTGGTTTTATTCATTGTACTGTACCTCTGCTTAAAAAATAAAGGAATTAACTTTTCAATCAAATAAAGCCATTTAGAGAAATTCCTTGAAGGTGTGTGAAACTTGTGATGATGTCAGTCTTTTTGTGCCCACTTTGGTTTTAGAGAAGTGTTTGGCAGAGAGACACCAACCTAAGGGACACCTGCCCACAGGGCTCGAAAGCTGTAATGATAAGGTTTTGCTGTACCGTTGTTTCCGAGTGCCCTACAGAAACAAGCGTGTGCAGATTCGTTGGCGTCATGGTTGCACCATTACTACAGAGAAACGTCTTGCTTCTCGACCAACCAGGTCAAAAATGTTTATCTGGTAATATGGGTCAGATCGTTTATCTTCCTATAGCGAATCTCCAGGACCGCATTTTACATTCATAAACCATGTCGTGGGCCGTTCTAAAACTACTCACGTGTCGTTAACCATTTGTTTACACTTTGTTCAGTCATGTTACATCATTGGCTAGCTAGCTAACAACCTGGTAACTTTACAAGTATATCCAAACATTTGGTGGCACAGAAAGAAAGGAAAAGGGCTAGCTTTTTCAGGAGATCAATGATCATAGCAATGAATGCATGACATCATTACAAACCTGACGTTTTTAAGGAGACAGCGTCCCATTTTCAATGTATACTGAACAAAAAAATTAACAAAACTTGAATTTCTCGTTTCCCAAGATAATCCATCCACCTGACAGGTGTGGCATATCAAGAAACTGATTAAACAGCATGATCATTACACAGGTGCACCTTGTGCTGGGTACAATAAAAGACCACTCTAAAATGTGCAGTTTTGTCACACAACACAATGCCACAGATGTATAAGGTTTTGAGGGAGCGTGCAATTGGCATGCTGACTGCAGGAATGTCCACCAGAGCTGTTGCCAGAGAATTTAATGTTCATTTCTCTACCATAAGCCACCTCCAACGTCATTTTAGATAATTTGGCAGTACGTCCCAACTGGCCTCACAACCGCAGACCACGTGTAACCACGCCAGCCCAGGAATTCCACATCCAGCTTCTTCACCTGATGGATCGTCTGAGACCAGCCACCCGGACAGCTGATGAAACTGTGGATTTGCACAACCGAAGAATTTCTGCACAAACCGTTAGAAACTGTCTCAGGGAAGCTGTGCTCTTCAGTGTTACATATTAGTTTCCACATTTTGTTACGTTACAGCCTTATTCTAAAATGGATTAAATCGTTTTTTTCTCTTACCAATCTACACACAATACCCCATAATGACAAAAGAAAACGGAAATATCACATTTACATACAGTTGAAGTCGGAAGTTAACATACACTTAGGTTAGAGTCATTAAAACTTGTTTTTCAACCAAATTATTGTTACAAACTATAGTATTGGCAAGTCGGTAAGGACATCTACTTTGTGCATGACACAAGTAATTTTTCTAACAGTTGTTTACAGACAGATTATTTCACTTATAATTCACTGTATCACAATTCCAGTGGGTCAGAAGTTTACATACACTAAGTTGACTGTGCCTTTAAAAAGCTTGGAAAATTCCAGAAAATGATGTAATGGCTTTAGAAGCTGTGGATGTATTTCAAGGCCTACCTTCAAACTCAGTGCCTCTTTGCTTGACATCATGGGAAAATCAAAATAAATCAGCCAAGACCTCAGAAAAATATTTGTAGACCTCCAGAAGTCTGGTTCATCCTTGGGAGCAATTTCCAAACGCCTGAAGGTACCACGTTCATCTGTACAAACAATAGTACGCAAGTATTAACACCATGGGACCACGCAGCCGTCATACTGCTCAGGAAGGAGATGGGTTCTGTCTCCTAGAGATGAACGTACTTTGGTGCGAAAAGTGCAAATCAATCCCAGAACAACAGCAAAGGACCTTGTGAAGATGCTGGAGGAAACAGGTACAAAAGTATATATATCCACAGTAAAACCAGTCCTATATTGACATAACCTGAAAGGCTGCTCAGCAAGGAAGAAGCCACTGCTCCAAAACCGCCATAAAAAAGCCAGACTACGGTTTGCAATTGCATATGGGGACAAAGATCGTACTTTTTTGAGAAATGTCCTCTGGTCTGATGAAACAAAAATAGAACTGTTTGGCCATAATGACCATCGTTATGTTTGGAGGAAAAACGGGGGGGCTTGCAAGCCGAAGAACACCATCCCAACCATGAAGCATGGGGTTGGCAGCATCATGCTGTGGGGGTGCTTTGCTGCAGGAGGGACTGGTGCACTTCACAAAATAGATGGCATCATGAGGAAGGAAAATTATGTGGATATATTGAAGCAACATCTCAAGACATCAGTCAGGAAGTTAAAGCTTGGTCGCAAATGGGTCTTCCAAATGGACAATGACCCCAAGAATACTTCCAAAGTTGTGGCAAAATGGCTTAAGGACAACAAAGTCAAGGTATTGGGGTGGCCATCACAAAGCCCTGACCTCAATGCTATAGAAAATGTGTGGGCAGAACTGAAAAAGCTTGTGCGAGCAAGGAGGCCTACAAACCTGACTCAGTTACACCAGCTCTGTCAGGAGGAATGGGCCAAAATTCACCCAACTTATTGTGGGAAGCTTGTGGAAGGTCACCCAAAACATTTGACCCAAGTTAAACAATTTAAATGCAATGCTACAAAATACTAATTGAGTGTATTATTTCCCACTGGGAATGTGATGAAATAAATAAAAGCTGAAATAAATCATTCTCTCTACTATTATTCTGACATTTCACATTCTTAAAATAAAGTGGTGATCCTAACTGACCTAAGACAGGGAATTTTTTACTAGGATTAAATGTCAGGAATTGTGAAATACTGAGTTTAAATGTATTTGGCTAAGGTGTATGTAAACTTCCGATTTCAACTGTACGTATTCAGACCTTTTACTCAGTACTTTGTTGAAGCACTTTTGGCAGTGATTACAGCCTTGAGTCTTCTTGGTTATGGCACTACAAGCTTGGCACACCTGTATTTGGGGAGTTTCTCCCATCCTCTCAAGCTCTGTCATGCTGGATGGGGAGCGTCGCGGTGCAGCTATTTTCAGGTCTCTCCAGAGATGTTTAATCAGGTTCAAGTCCTGGCTCTGGCTGGGCCACTCAAGGACATTCAGAGACTTGTCCCGAAGCCACTCCTGCGTTGTCTTGGCTGTGTGCTTAGGGTTGTTGTCCTGTTGGAAGGTGTACGTTCGCCCCAGTCTGAGGTCCTGAGTGCTCTGGAGCAGGTTTTCATCAAGGATCTCTCTGTACTTTGCTCCGTTCATCTTTTCCTCGATCCTGACTAGTCTCACAGTCCCTGCCACTGAAAAACATCCCCACAGCATGATGCTGCCACCACCATGCTTCACCGTAGGGATGGTGCCAGGTTTCCTCCAGATGTGACGCTTGGCATTCAGGCCAAAGAGTTCAATCTTGGTTTCATCAGACCAGATAATCTAGTTTTTCATGGTCAGAGAGTCTTTAGGTGCCTTTTGGCAAACTCCAAGCGGGCTGTCATATGCCTTTTACGTAGGAGTGGCTTCCGTCTGGCCACTCTACCATAAAGGCCAGATTGGTGGAGTGCTGCAGAGATGGTTGTCCTTCTGGAAGGTTCACCCATCTCCACAGAGGAACTCTGGAGCTCTGTCAGAGTGACAATCGGGTTCTTGGTCACCAAGGCCCTTCTCCCCCGATTGCTCAGTTTGGCAGGGCGGCCAGCTCTAGGAAGAGTCTTGGTGGTTCCAAACATCTTCCATGTAATAATAATGGGGGCTACGTCTTGGGGATCTTCAATGCTGCAGACATTTTTTGGTACCCTTCCCCAGATCTCTACCTCGACACAATCCTGTCTCGGAGCTCTACGGACAATTCCTTCGACCTCATGGCTTGGTTTTTGCTTGACATGCACTGTCAACTGTGGGACCTTATATAGACATGTGTGTGCCTTTCTAAATCATGTCCAATCAAATGAATTTACCACAGGTGGACTCCAATCAAGTTGTAGACACATCTCAAGGATGATCAATGGAAACAGGATGCACCTGAGCTCAATTTCGAGTCTCATAGCAAAAGGTCTGAATACCTATGTAAATAAGGTATTTCTGTTTTTTATTTTTAATATATTTGCTACATTTTCAAAAAAACTGTTTTCGTTTTGTTATTATAGGGTATTGTGTGTAGATTGATAAGGAAAAATAGCATTTAATCAATTTTAGAATAAGGCTGTAATGTAACAAAATGTGGGGAAAGTAAAGGGGTCTGAATACTTTCCAAAGGCACTGTAGGTAAATTAGTAATCCGTTTGGATAAGGGGATTGTAAATATGAATGACAATTGTTTTATATCTATTTTACCTTATGATCGCTGGAAACAAATGTGAAACCAGTCATATGGAAACAAACTAAAAAGCATGTCAACATGACAGGTATTTATTCCCCTTTCCCACAGTGAAGTATGAAATGCTGTGGCGTTATGCAGAATTTAAATTGTATGTCCTTATCACTTGCAGGGATGAAATTTGGAGACCCAAGCCAGTAGCACCGAACCTACCGAGTTGTTTTATGCGCTCTAGAATGTTTTAATTACCGTAAAACTTGAATTAAATGCAGTCTCAAATAGCCGCCTGTCCCTTTTAATAGCCAGGCAACAATACACAATTCAGCAAATAAACGCCTGTTTGAAATAAATGCTG